AGAGCGCCCGCGGCAAGAGCGACACGTGCCACCCGCAGTGCCGGCCGCCGGGTCCGCGCTGGCGCCGGGTAGGGCCGGCGGGCTGCGATGCGCGGTGAGTGACCCGGGCTCGGTGGAGCGCGGGTGCCGGGGACCCCACAGAGTGCCTGAGCTGGTCGGGTAAGCTCCCGGGCTTCCCGGACTCGGTTCTCCAAGGGGCGACCTCAACTCGCCGTGGTCCTAACGCTGGGGTGCCCATGTGGATCACTTGGAAGTGCTTGGCTGGGGCTTGCCTAGACAGCAGGGCGCGCTTACACTGAGCCTCCCAGTCGCTCCCCAAGGCGGGGTGCTCAGTGGTGGATGATCTTGGAAGGAGGGTGGGTAGTGTGTGGACAAGGGCAGAGGGCCCGCAGGGTCCAGTCTTGGTCCAAGCTCGGTCCAGGCTCGTGGGTATAACTATGTTGTTTGAAAAATAGATCTTCTGTATGATATTGGGGGAGGGAGTCTTCCTTATTCTTGGATGGGGCCCACTGTTCCTCTCTCCGCAGCGTTTTTCTGTGGATCTGTGGATATACCGGGCGTCCCTCCTGGCTATTAACAAGCAGGAAGCCCTGGCGCAAGCAGTTTGGCTAACCTCACTTTTTCCCTCTGTAAAGTGGCCTTCTCATCTTCTTACCTTTCTGGGGCCACTAAATGTAAGTATTGTGAAGGATTACGTATCTGTACGAGTAGGTCTAGGTCTTACAAATAGTAACCCCAGAGCATACAAAATAGACTTTTTTCATTTTATGTCTTAACCAGGCAAAATTAATGTTTTTTTTTATCTTTAAAATTTTATTTATAATTGCTACATAATAATTGTATCTATGAGAGATCATCAAAAGTTCATGGAAAATTGAATTAAAGTATGGGTTTATTTTGGTGCAAAGAAATTTAAAGTCCACCCATAATATTTTTTCATGACTTTTCCATAAACTTTTTGAAGAGCTCTCATATGTAAGGGGGATAGCATGTTTTAGGGACACATATACATTATATAATGATCAAATCAGGGTAGCTAGCATAGTCATCACCTTAAACATTTATCTTTTTTGTGATTAGGACAGTCAGAAGCTTCTCTTGGGACTATTTTGAAACATACACTGTTAACTCTGGCCACCCTACTGTTCGACAGAACCCCAGAGCTCATTCCACTTAGCTAACTCCAGCTGTGCACCTGTCCACTAATATCTTTCCCCTTCCCCAACTTCTGGCCCTCCCCATTCTCTGGTAACCACTGTCCTACTCTCTACTTCTTTGTGAACAACTTTTTTTAGATTCCACATATGAGTGAGATCATGCTTTTATCTTATTTTTTTAAATTCTGGATAATAGCTATAATTCACTTTGTGTGTTCTCTGTATAGATGAATTCTGGATAATAGTTATAATTCACTTTGTGTGTTCTCTGTATAGATGAAAGTCTTTATTTGAGCATCTACCATGCCCCAACCCTTGGGAACATACCATTATCCCATGGAATTCTTTAAAAATCCCGTGAAGTGGTTATCAGTATTTCCATTGTACAAACATGCACATTTTATGCAGATAGTTCCAAACTCTGCGTTTCTCCTGTTTGCACATTGACTCATCACATTCTATCTACTGCCACTTGAGCAAACAAAGAGATTCTCATTCTCCATCAACGAGGAATGGTGAGCCAGGAAGTGGCAGGAGGTTAAGGCACTGGATCCCCTGTGACTGGCTCTGTGGTTGAGTCAGGAGGCTTGAAAATCACACTGGGTGCATGCATGTGCCCAAGAGCCCAAGAGGAGAATGTATGAGAAGAGATTACACTGTGGCCATCCCTGCCATGGAGGTAATTTCTCACTTTCTCTCTCAAAGGACCTTAATGGCTTCGAGGGGATGCTTTCCTCCTCCATTTTAATGGAAAATTCTCAATTTATAGCCTTCACTTTGTCAGGCACAATGGCTTCTAGAAGTTTCCAACATGCTCTTTATCATGTATCATGTTTCTGAATGCCACGGTGGTTATATAGGATTAGAAATGTCCAAACTTTGGCAGCTCCTGAATCTTTGCTGTATCCCTGTATTAGGATGAATTTTAGTGGGAAAAAACTTACAAAGCACATGTGTGATTTTTAAGGGAGAAGAATCCTCTAAGTAGAATAGGTATTGTGCATCATTCCTCAGTCGTGAACTTATTTTGTTATTACTGTACCTGTTTTGTTCTCTAGAAGAGTATTTGTCACCTTTATCATTATACTCACAGCACTGCTCTCAATTTCTACATACAAGTGTGTGCAGACTAACCTGAAAAGAGAGTCAATCCTTCAAAGAAGTCTTGTGTAACTTCCTTGGCTCTTAGAAGTTTCTAGTGCTCTTTCTTAGTGGTAACTTTGCTTCTTTTGTCAACTACAAATATGTGTTGAACATCTATTATGTTTAATGTATGGTGCTGGAGACTGCAGTGAACATGAGGAAACGCAAGACTCAATTCCTGTCTTCAGGAAATTAAGATTGTTTGGGGAAGATTAGAATTGTAAGAACACTTTGTATGCCATCAATGATAGGTGGCATGAACTCAAGCGGTGCAAAAAGTCAAGAGATTCTAGGTGTGCAATCGGGTTCTAATCCAATCTTTCAGTGGTGAGCCACAGGGTGGGTCAGAGCGAGGACAAAAGCAAGGCTCCCTAACTTAGTTCTAACAATGTCCTTGAAAAGTAACTGGCCTTATTCTTTTTTATTTTTTTAATAATCGCACTCAGTAGATGAGAGAGAGAGAAAGTGCAACCCCTAGTGAGGTGTTGTCACACAGGAATCCCTTCTCCTCTCTTTTTCCCCATTCTGGCAGGATTTTATGCATGCACACATGGCTGGTGTATTTGAGAGGCCAGGAGCTTGATCTTGAATTGTGGTTGGCCAGTTCCTTTTATGACTGAGCTACAGCCAGCCCTACTTTTTCTGTCTTTTTCTTTTCAAAAATCTGCTAGTGGGTATATGTGCTCACCAGAGAAAGACAGAGAGGGAAGGCAAGAAAGCGCTCTTCTTTGGGTATGGCCACACTGCAATCTCTTCTCCATTTCTCGCTCCTTTCAGGATTTGGGGCATGCACACATAGGAGTTTGGCATGTTTCTCAGGCCATTGGGTCTGGGATTTAAACTACATGGTCAGCCATGTGGGCTCAGACCCCCTATTTTCTTGTAATACTAGTAGAAGATACTTATTGAGCTCTTGCTATATACCAGGCATTGTGCTAAGAGCTTCTCATTTAACCCTTACACAATTCTGTGAAGTATGGGACATTTTTATTCCCATCGTACAGGCATGAAACTCAAGCTGCATAACTAAGTCAATTGCCATAGGCCACAGAGCTAGATTTGTCAGAACCCAGACTGGGGTGTCCTAGCTCAGGCCACTGTTTATTTCATTGCTACCCTAGTTGTTCAGGAGGCTCTGGAAGTCTGGACGGAGGTGATGAGAGTGACCACAGTGCAATTCACTCTTGAGTTGGGCACTATGTGGCACTATCGGGGGTGCACTGAGGCTTGCTGAGGGTAAATGAGGAGCTTAAGCTGGTTCTTAAGAATAGAAATGAGTGGGGGAGGTGGGAGAGACAGACTAGCAGAGTGGTAAGAGTGGATTTTCATTTCTCAGGTGAGAAGGAAAGCTGGGATGTAGTTCAATCCTGTCACGGACTTCTGTTTTTTCATGTTACCTTGTTTAATTTGCATATACTTTATATAGTTAATACTTTATGTAGTAGATCAAATATTTACAACTAAATTATTTGCTCTGCATTGTAATAAATTGCTAAGTAAATGCCTATAAAAGGTAATTAAAATTAAAATCTTAATCATTGTCCATTTTGTAATGATATGCAGAGGAAAAGGCAGAGATGCTGAGATGTGGGGTTATTAGTATAGAGATCCCGGCCAAATTCTTAATTTACATAAAAAACACCTTGAGAAACGTTGTGGGATGGTAATCATTAGTCTTAATTCTTTTACCCTCCTCCCAAGTATACTCCAATTATCTTAAGATAATCCTGAACTTTCTAGAAAATTCTTAAAACACTGTCATTGTAATGGAATTTAGTATTTTACATGCCTTGTTGAACTTCATGAAAAGACCTAGGGGTTGATGTTAAAAAGTAAAATAATACTTCCCAGGGCTTTGCAATACCCCAAATCCAAAGGTAAAATCTTTACCCCCATTCCATTGTCCACACATACAATTCAAAGTTGAGACTATCGAAGGCTTTCTAATAAAGAAGAAATGTCAGTGAAAGAAATAGAATTTTCTCAAATGTCAATACCCATTTTTAAAATGAGGAAAAGAAGCTTTAATATGCAGAGTTCCTTGCTATGGTGATACATGTACGGTGGAGGAACCAAAAAAGGCCCCTGCCTGTTCTTGCCCCAGACGCCAGGCTCCTTCCAGTCTCTCAGCCTTGCCAATAGAAGACAGGTTATTTTATCTACTGTTCTAGAAGGGCACAGAGCATGAAGACAGAGAATACCAGATCCTACAACTTTTTCGAATAAGTGCTATGAAAGTTGTAAGTTTGTGGAAGCTCATCAAAGAAAGAAGTGAAGATGTAGCAAATAATAGTAGTTGATATGAAAGTGCCTTGTTTCTTCAAGACTCCAACCTTGTCTTTTTTCCACCTTTCCTTATTATTATTATTATGTTGGAGGGATGTTTACTTAATTTATAGCATAGCTCACAGTACAAATGATTGGGGCAGGATAAGATTCTCTAACTCATTGCAAATGTAATCAGTTTGCACACATTTCAGAAGCTTGCCTATTATGTTAAGTATAATATATCTGAAATAAAAATAAAGACAAATAGAATTACAGAATATTCCAGAAAATCAGAAGCCAAGGAAGAAAGGGATAAGAGTTTGTTTTTTTTCTTTTTTTTTTTTTTTTTTTTTTTGAGAGGTTTTTGCTATAGGGCTTGTGTGCTCGCCAGGCAGACAGAGAGAGACAGAGAGACAGAAAATGAGAAATCACCCCCAGGGGGGATGGTCATGCCGCAATCCCTTCTCCTCCGTTCTCCTCTCGGGATCTTAGGCACGCACGCACACGCACCCGGCGTGAGTTTTAAGCTACCGGGTCCAGGACGCGAACCGCGGTCGACTACGTGGGAGTCCAGCAACATAGCCATTAAGCTAACTGCTGGTTCCCAAGAGATTTTTTTTTAAATGATAAATAAATCATAAAGAGAAAAAGAAGAAAACAAACTGAGTCCAGCAACATAGCCATTAAGCTAACTGCTGGTTCCCAAGAAATTTTTTTTTAAATGATAAATAGATCATAAAGAGAAAAAGAAGAAAACAAACTGAATTTTTTTTTTTTTAATCAAAGGTTTAGTATCGCCTGAATTCAAACAAGTGAAGAAGGTTCCTTTACTTGGGTAAAATTAAGGAGTATCCTCCTGACAATAAATGTTTACAAGTGAAATGAGAGCAAATTCAAGGGAGTCTCAGCAGGCTGCACGAGAAAGAAAACAGGCGTGGATCACATTGAGCTATGTAAGAGGTGCTGGGAGTGCTGGGCAGAAAGAAGAAAAGGTCGAGGGGGTTGATGCAGTGTTACTTTCCTCCCCTTCTAGCCATTGAGCAGGACATTATGAAGGAGCTGAGTTGATGCCTGCGGACTGATAGGCCAGCTTTTCTCCATGTTAT